TGATCCATTTCTGGTCAATGAGGCCCCCAGAGAGGTTTGTCAGACATAAGTGGGAAGCCACCCCCTTCTTTCTACTGCCAGAGGTGAACAAGAGACAGGTGGCCCTGATTGCTGATGGCAACCATCCTACAGCCATGAGATAAACCAGCCTTAGGGCAAGATTGATTCTGGGAGTGGCACAGCTGTTAGAGGAAAGAAAAAGCATCCAGATCCTTCACAGCACTGTTAAGTTACTAGACTAGCCCTGCTACTCGGCCTCCCTCTTGGCCTCTTCTTTGTGATCTAATGAATGTCCTTATTGTTTTAACAATGCTGAGACATGTTACTTGCAGTGAAAAGCAGTCAGATAGGCCTTCCTGGAGGAAATTAGGGCATAAAAGATCCTGGGTCCTACTGATATTGTTTGAATCCCTGATAAAGCTGTGCCTGAAGCCAGCCCTACTGTTGAGATTTCCAATTACATGAGTCAATACATTCCTTTTGTACTTCAGCTATCTTGGGTTGGGTGTCTTCCTCTTACAACCAAGAGAGTCCTGATATAAGTTCATAACTAAAGGCAGATCCAAAAGAACCACTTCTACAATGTTTTCTGTGATAGTAACATTTTATGTCCAAAATCTCATATCAGTTCCAGACTCTAAAATGCTCCAAAACCCAGAAATATTCTTATTAGTTTGACACTGAGGCCCATTTGCTGGCAAAACCTGAACCAAACCATTATATGGGTCCTTAGAGTCTTTATTCTATTTATTGTGAATATTCATAAGTTTTGCTACAAAAATATTAATGGATTTAATTTTGGGGGCTGCCCCAGACCTTGCCAGAGGGGTTATGTAATATACATTGTATACACTTTCTAAAATGTACAAAGTTCTGAATTCCCAAACAATCTAGTCCCAGGTTCTGGATAACTGAAAACTAGAGTCCCTTGGGGCAGTTATACTCATGTGTGCATAAGAGCAAGAGTCATGTTTTCCAATAGTTTCATTCTATAGTGTCATTTTTCCTAACTCAGACATGAGAGTTTCTAATTTGTCTTGGACTGAAATGTGCTTGTGACAGAATCTATTCTGAGTCCCTGACCCAATTATGTTTTGCATCATTTCAGAGACTGTTCATTTTGACCGAGGCCCGTCTGGTGGTTCATTGCAGTGATGTATTTCAGCATCGTGTACACAGGTTCACCAGCCTTGTCTCAACCTTGGAAATGTTGTGGTATTTTACAGTGTGTGGTGACATTTATGGGCCCATTTGGACACCCACAAAGAGGTTGATTTCCATAGATTAAATGTCAAGTTTGAAACCGTCCAGGGTAATTGAATCCTCGAGGGTTGTCCACTTCGATTCTCAGCTGGGGCTGTTGAGTGGACACGTGTGTCCTGTTACCAGCCCATGAGTGCAGCCCAAATCACTTAACTCCGAAAGGTCAGACTGTGAGTCCAGGGGGAGGTGGGTGGGGAGATCCACAGCAGTGTAATCTGAATCTGCAGAAATGTTGCCTCATTTCTTACTTCTTTAAATAAAAGCACCTTTGTGGTTAGTTGGTGAATAAATTATTGGAGACAGAAAGAAAAGAAAAAACACCAGCTGAGGTTTCCTAGATGTTGGTTAGTTAAAATATCTAACCATCTGTGTATTAACAAGAGCGAAAGGGTAGAAAGTAAGTATCTGTACCTTAATATTATAAGTAGCAATAGTTTTAAGGGGCATTAAACACATGTACGTAAACTTAGAGTAAGCTTCATTTAAATTAAAAGGTAGCAAATAAGCATCAAATAGTGTCCTATATATTTCAGTGTATTTGTGAACTGTGTCCAAAGAATGTGTACATCCTCAGACTTTGATCTGAATCTCTTGGATTTTTGTTCTCACAGGGAAGTAGAGTTAAGCGGATCTAATGGGTCTGCACGCGCCCATTTCCTCCACTGGCGCGGTTGAACAGGAGGGGCAGGTCGGCCTCGAACACCTTTCTCATCGGCTTTTTGGTCTTTCTGCAGGGTCAGTTGTCCACACCATGGTGATGCCTGCCCAGCTCCACCGACCATGTCTGCTGACCAGTGTCCCTTAAAGTCAGGGCTGGCAGTCAACATAGACCAGATAGTCAGAAACAGAATTCAAGTTCATCCACCAGCAAGTTTCAGAAGTGTGAAAATGGACACGTTGATTTCCTGTCCAGGCTTGGGACTAAGACAGGTCAAGGGTGCCCATCTTTTTTTCTAGACTATTTTGCTGCTAAACTGTCATGGGCATGCAGACAACATGGAATATGATTCCCAGGTTTGTTTCGTGATCAAGAATTAGAGCAAGCAACAACACCTGCCGTTGGAGGTTCATCCCCAGCCAAGGTGTGTGCTGCCTCACATGTGGCCCTTGGACGGACACGTGGTCCTGGTGAGGCTGAGGTCACTCTTTCTGGCTGCTTTGCAGAACTGGGTTGGAGGCATCTGACCACAAGCAGGGATATGCCTGCATTGATGACTGTGGCGATTACAGAGATGCCAAAACATTAGGATTTAATAGGAACGGGCTTGGCCAAGCATCCAGTTGTTTAGTCTACATTAGGCTAAACATCTGGGTGATTGGAAACATCTTTGGAGTTGAATGGGCCATGTGATCTGGTCTCATACAGGTGCAGCCGCCTCGGTCACAACTGATGAGAGACGCACGGTCAGAGGAGCGTGTGTTCTGAGCAGGGGAGGAGGGGGGAGGCAGAATGTGCTCAAGGCTGAATTCATTTCCTGGGGCTTGTTTAGTCTACATTAGGCTAAACATCTGGGTGATTGGAAACATCTTTGGAGTTGAATGGGCCATGTGATCTGGTCTCATACAGATGCAGCCGCCTCGGTCACAACTGATGAGAGACGCACGGTCAGAGGAGCGTGTTTTCTGAGCAGGGGAGGAGGGGGGAGGCAGAATGTGCTCAAGGCTGAATTCATTTCCTGGGGCTGCTGTACCCAAGTACCACAAAGTACCTTATTCTCTCTCCATGCTAGAGTCCAGAAGCCCAAAGTCAACGTGTTGGCTGGGCCATGCTCCTCTCAACTCTGTAGGGTAGAATCTTTCATTGCCTCTTCCTAGTTTCTGGACGTTTGCTAGCAGTTGTCGGCATTCCTTGACTTGTAGATGTATCACCCCAATTTCTGTCTCCATTATCACGTGGCATTCTCCCCATGTGTCTGTGTCTTCACGTGCCTGCCTTGTCCCTGTGTGTCTCTCCTCTTCTTATAAGGACACCAGTTATATGGGATTAAGAGCCCACCCTACTCCAGTATGACCTCACCTAAATTCAACTCATTGTATCTGCCGGGACCTTATTTCTAGATAAGTTCACATTCACATGTACTGGATGTTAGGACGTCAACATATGTTTATGGGGACACAATTCAGCCCATACCTTGCTCCCCCTTTTCTCAGAACCTAAAGAGCAGTGACATTTCCCTGTGTCTGTGGCCCCTGTGGCAGGTAATGAGCATGGGCACCACATCAGAGGTGATGAAGAGGCTCTTGAAGGGCTGTTCTCTTGTGCACTGGCTCTTCCAGGCTGCACAGCCTGTGCAAACCTGAGTTTCCCGCTCTGGGCTTGGAGGGGGCATGTGGGGAGTTGGAAGACCATCTAAGGGGCTGGGAGAGGCTTCTGTTCTGTGGCTTGTTCTCAGCACTGAGTAGCTGGCTCTGGAGGTGTTTGCAGCCAGCCCATTGGAGGTAAGAAGGCTGGTAGCTCAAATCATGCTCTGGAGACTTTTACAGAGAACAGTGTCCCTGAATAGGAGAAGCTCTTCTGCTGGGGCTTCTGGGATTTGGAAGCCCCGAGCCCAGAGCTTGCAGGGATGGCCCAGATTTACCAGGAATTCTGTCCCCCAGGCATGTGGTGCTCCAAAGTCATTGAGTCCCCTTAGCAGTATGCCAGAGGAATCGAGGCCAGTGTTCAGGACTGGAGGGAATGTTCTCAAAGGACTGTAAGAGGAGAGACTCTTAGACTGGCTACAGCATGCCCACCCATGCCTGGGCAGGAGGGAGGGCAAGCAATGTTTGACTGGATGGGCCTTGCCAGTGGGCCTCAGCAGATGGAAACCCCTTCAGGCCCCCGCCAGCCAAACAGAATCCATCCTGAGAACAGTGAGGCGTGACCAATGGAAGGGAGGAAGGCACCTACCTCCGTGGAGGACAGGAAACCATGCCAGGTCTGAAGAATGCACCGACCCTCCACTGCTCAGAAATGAAGCACAAACCAGCCAGCCAAACAGAATCCATCCTGAGAACAGTGAGGTGTGACCAATGGAAGGGAGGAAGGCACCTACCTCCGTGGAGGACAGGTAACCATGCCAGGTCTGAAGAATGCACCGACCCTCCACTGCTCAGAAATGAAGCACAAACCAGCTTCCACAGGCAACTGCCTGTCAGCTCTCTGCTCTCCTGCTTCTGGGGGTCCAGTTTGAGATGCCCAAGAGTATGCTAGCTTTCCCTTCTGGCCTCTTTGGCCAGCTGGACACCTCATCTTCATAACCCCCATTTGTAGGACCAAGAGGAAGGCTGCAGAGCTAGGCAGAGACCAGCAACAAAGCGCTAACCAACGAGGTGACATCCATGGGGAGGAAAAGGGCCCAGTTTGGCAGCTGGTGCTGTCGGTGCTGGGATGTGGGTGGTGGGGGTGGTTTTCTTAGAGTGCTTGGGAAGCCCATTTTCTCCTGGAAATCTACACTCAATGGCAAGTCTTGGGTTCAGTTCTGCCTTTAAAGCTGTTGACTTACTGCAGATACTGTGTCCTCAACAATGTGAGTCAAGGAATTCTCTAAGTGTTTTATTCCTCCTGAACAGCAGGCCCAGGGATTTTTGGTTCCAGAACACCTGGTCTGCAATGTCATTAGAAATAGGGATGGTGACACATGCAATTGAAAGCACCCTTAAAGGGTCTAGAGAAATATTTTAAAAATTAAATCACTTATTATTTTTTAAAAGCCAGACCTAGAAATTCCTGAGGTATCAAAAAAAAAATATATATATATATGAAAGAGAATGTATTTTGCCTTATTCATTACATTAGTCAAGAATGAGTGTGTTATGCATACATTCCAGAAGGGAGGCACTGATGAATTGGAATGTTTAAGGCATACTTTGTGTTCTTTGCAACATCCCATGAGCAAGTATGCATGGGACCATATCCTTGGGGATGCTGGGGAGTTCTCTCCTGGGCATAGACCCCAGATGCCAGGTGTCACACCATTCATTGCCCGGGTTCCAAGACCTGTCTGGACTCAGTGTATGCCTTGCTCCGGCCAGTGCAGCTCTCTGGCATATGCCCCTTTGCAGCTTCTGATCTCATTGCCCAGCTCCAGGCACTTGTTCAGGCCTTGCACCCCAGACCTCCAGCCGATGAAGCCCTGAGTCGTCTTCGGAACTGGGGGGGACGGAAGGATCTGCAATGGAAATACAAGGGGTTTAGTTACCTTGGGCCACAGTAACAGCAGTAGTGTCCACAAAGATACCCAGGATCAGTGTGTGAGGCCTGGTGTGGGAAAGATGAAGAAAATCCAGTATCCTTAACATTAACTGAAAATAAACACATTCCCATCGGCTCGACTCTGAGACTCACATCTTTCTTGGAAGTAAGAAACATCAAACACGTTTCTTTATCCTGTAATGCTTAACACATTGAAGTCATGACCTCACTAAAATAGCTTTTATTTGGTAAAAGAGCAAACTCATATGTGGACTCTTAAAAAAAAAAAGTGGGTCTCATAGAAGTAGACAGTAGAATAGTGGTTACCAAAGACCAGGAGGGGCCGGGGGAGGGGAAGAGGCTGGTCAGTGGGTGCGAAGTTACAGGTAGACAGGAAGACTGTGTTCTGGTGTTCTAGGGTGACAATAGCATTGCATACTTTTTTTTTTGTATTGTATACTTCTAAATAGCCAAAAAGGAGAATTTTGACAATAATTACCACAAATAAATAATAAATGTTTAGGTGGTGGATAGCCTAGCTACTCTGAGTGGGTCATTATACAATATATGCATGTATTGAAACAACACACTGTACCCCATAAATAGGTACAATAAAAAATAAAAAAGAGACAATAAGAGAGCAAAAGTAGCAAAGAAAGCTAAGGTGTGGAAATATCAAATACTGTATTTCTCACTGGCCTTTACAAGACAGGACGATATTGTCAGATGGTATCTCAACAGTGACAAATCAGCCTGTTCCGACTGGAAGGCTCTGTGATACGCATGTGTGTACACACACACACACACACACACACACACACCCCAGATGTAAAGAACATGGGAATAAAAAGCAATCGAATTTAATTGAAAACCAAAAGCAAAATGGGCTTTTATCTGAAATGAAAAAACACAACTTCATTTGCCAATTCCTTGGACAGACTTGAAATTTTTGGAAAATGAGATATTTAGCAGGTTCTCCCCTCCTTTTGATTCTTTTTTTTTTGTGCTGCTGGCCGGTACAAGGATCAAACCCTGGACCTTGGTGTTATCAGTGCCACACTCTAACTAACAGAGCTAACAAGCCAGCGCCAGTTTACCTTTTGAAATAATCTTCTGTTCTGCTCCTAGAAGGTGATTTGAACAAAAACAATGAGAAATATTTGTTCCAACCGAAGGACAGAGGTTTAATATGCTTGGGGTTATGAGTTCATTCTTAGTAAAGGAATCTTCCAGTGGGGCTGTGGCAGGAGAGGAAGAACCCGGGTGGGCTGGCTGCCGCTGGTGAGCGAAGCCACTTAACATATGTTCTTGATGAAGTATTAAAATTAATCTCCTGAGAGGCCTCATGTAGGGAGGGTCATTGATACATGCCAGAGGGGCTGAGGTTTCCTCCAGCCAGCTACGGACAGAATTGGTCCGAAGGGTTCTCCACACTGCTTGTCCAGTGAGGCCCTGGGGAACACACAGACTAGCTTCTGAGCCTCTATCCGACTTGTAAAAGCAATGCAGTTGACGTGCACCCCGAGATGTCATGTTTCACCCACACGATCAACGAGATGGCAACACTAGTGTTAACATGGGTGTTCTAGAAGTAAGGGCAATATTGCAGTTTCTACTGAAAATGCAAATTCCGGTAACCCACCCCTAAAGCATTTATCCTAAGATATTCTGATAGCGGCACATGTACATGCCAATGTTAGTGCAGGGGATACACAGCAGCCCTGTTTAATAGCAAATGACTGGACATAACCTATGTATCCAGCAACAGGACAGGGGACTCATTAAGATATGGCCAGTCCACACCACAGAACACCATGTGGCAGTTTAAAAGAATGAGGCACCTCTGTATGTGTGGAGATGGAACAACTTCCAAGATAAATTTCTAAGAGAAAAAAGGTGCAGAAAAGTATGTAAAATATGGTATAAGTTGTGTAATAAGAGAACAAGGCTAAAGATGCACATATATGAGGGGTCTTCAAAAAGTTCATGGAAAGATTCATATTATATTCCAATTGTATTTTTCCATGATCTTTTTGAAGTGCCCATGTATGCCTTTATATGCATATTCTATCATGGAAGGGTGCACACTGGACTGGTGGGTTGGGGGGCAGGGAGGCTTTTCATAGCACGCCTTTTGGGTATTAAGATTACCTGTTAAAAGTAAATATACTTTTAAAGGCTCCTGTCACCTGAAGAGGGGATGGGAAGGTGGATGAAGGGAAGCATTTCCCATTTTTGGGGCAGGGAGGAAAGTGCAGAGGGAGGCAGAAGCTGTGTGCCTCTCTCACCGGAACCAAGGTCCTGTCCCCGTGTCCCCACCACCTCCGCCCCACAGGCTCAGTCTGGGGTGTGTGGCTGGAACATCTGGAGGCAGGAGGCTCACCCAGGAGGAAACAATGTTTCGGTTTGTTCTGGTGCCTAAACATTTCCTCTCTGTTCTCCTGCCAGGAGGATAGATTGTACTGGAATCTGGGGGCACTTTCTTTGAAAAGAGAATGTTTCTAGTCGCAGCTGCCGCCCACAGTCATTGGAGCCCTTTGTGGCAGAGGGAAAGGTCCCACCCAAACCCAGGCAAGGTGTTTGGGAGGATGGCGTGTGGCTGTGAGAGAGGACAGTCGCTCAGCCAATCACTTGACGCTGTGTTCTCTGGGGTGGAGGTGGAGGTGGCCGAATTAAAACCCAGCCCTGGAAAAATGTCAGGCCCACTTCCTGGCGCCTCTTCCTCTGTTCCCCAGCCAGCCCGCGGCTGCAGACCACAGGAGAGCGAGCTCCCTAAATGTGTGCTTTCATTTGAACAATCGCTGCATTTCTAAGCATTTATTCCAAGAAAACTACGGACTGAGAGCAAAATGCTTTGTCTACAAGGAGGTTCCTTCTAGTATTATTCTCCCAAATCTCAAAGTGGAAAGAACCTAGTTGTCCAGGGATAGGGGAACGGTTAAATAAATTATGGTCGATCCATGCAAGGGAGAAAGAAGCAGCCATTAATATATTGGCAATTTGGAGTGCATGGAGAGACATCCAGATACATTGTTAAGTAAAAAGAGGAGATTACAAAGCAGCTCGTGTCCTGTGATTTTTAAACATATAAATAAGTGTGTATGTATGTTTGTGTGCATGCATATGATTTGGAGTGCATGGAGAGACATCCAGATACATTGTTAAGTAAAAAGAGGAGATTACAAAGCAGTTCGTGTCCTGTGATTTTTAAACATATAAATAAGTGTGTATGTATGTTTGTGTGCATGCATATGTATATATATGAGGAGTGGCCGAGGATAACATTTAAGAGCAGGGCTCCGGAATCAGACACACTTGCTGTGTGACTTGGGGAAAGGAATTCAGCCTTCATCAGCCTCAGTTTCCTCATCTGTAAAACGGGTCTGATGATGGTAAAATCTACCTTCTAGGGTTGTAGTAGAAATAAAAGGAGATAACCCATGTAAAGCACTCAGCACAGGGAGCAACTAAGAGATAACAAGAGCTAGCATTTAGGAGGTGGTCACTCTTACAGGTATATGGATGCATAGAACCTCTGGAATGAGTGCTCCAAACTATTAACACAGGTAAGAGTACATGTGGGTGTTTTAGTTACCTTGGTAGTTATATTTTGCTGTCTTTCTGAAAAAAAATGTTTGAGTGACTCTAAATTGCTTTATTACCAGGGGGAAAACTCCTCAACATGTCTCAGTGGAGCACATCCATTCATTCATTCATTCTGCTCACAGATGCATACCCACCAACTTCTCACCACGTGCCAGCTGTCCCATCAGATCCTGGGGGCATGTCAGGAAAAGAAAATTCACAGGTCTGAACTCCCCCTGTCCTGCCATCTTCATCTTGGTTTCATCCCCTGTCCCCGTCAGTACAGGACTGCCTTCTCATAGTTGGGCAGGGGGTAGAACGCAGGACTAAAATGACAGACCCATAAGAAGAGTCCAGGGACATTGCTCAACCACTTTTAGAGGCATCTGACCCACGTCCACAGCTGACCGGGGAGGGACACCATCTGAATCCTCTCTTCTGGGATTTCCTGGTCACCCCTGCCTCTCCACCCCCATCTACTCTCTGCTCAGCAACCAGAGTGATCTTTCCAATGGGCCTCCTCACCATTCCACAGCACTGCTTACAAGTCTCCATGGCTTCCGTCGTAGACTGGTCTCGAGAGTCAACTCCGTCCTCTAGCCTCTGAGGTCCAGTGGGACCTGGCCCCACCCACTTCTCCATCCACATCCTTCCCTTGTCATGCTCACCCTCGACCCCAGCTCACTAAGCTCCTGCACATCACCATCCTGCGCTGCTCCTGAAACACACCAATCTGTGTTCTGCCACAGGGCTTTTGTACATGCTGTTCCCTCTGCCTGGGATGCTGTTCCCAGGGCTGGTTCCATGTCACCCTTCAGTTCTCAGTGCAAAGGGCACCTCTACAGGGAATCTTCCCATCCTCTGTTATGCTCCAGCACAACAACCACCTATTTCCTCCATGGCCTCTAGCACAGTGTGTAACAATTTTGTTGATTGCTATTTAATGTTGGTCTCCCTGATCCAGACACTTACGATGGATCTTGTCTTTTTGTTCATCACTGTTTGCCCAACCAAGCACCTGGCGCCTAGTAATAGCTGACAGACCTTAGCACTTTCTAAAAATACTGGGCACTTTTCCAAGTCCTTCACACGTACCATCCCACTCAACCCTGACACCACTCCCTGAAGTAGGTGCTTCATTAATCCCCATTGTAAGAAGGAGGAAATGGAGACAGAGAGGTCAAGCCACTTGCCCAAAACCACACAGCAGGTGAGTGGCAGAGCAGGACTTGGATCTCAGAGGTCTGACTCCAGAGCCCGGGTCTTTACTGCAAGCATTTACCCTGTAAGTGCTGAAAGAATGATGAGTTGAGCCCCTCATTTTCTTGGCTTCTGCAGAGTGGGAGGCAGTGATCCTCACATATGTAGAGACATTTAACCTGATAGGTTTCCCAGGTCTGAGCTTGGAAAGGGTGTGGGAACTGGACTGCGTGGGTGCCGGGCGCTGCTGCAGTCTCACCTGTGCAGCTGGCTTTGTGCCTCTGGAGCAATCACACTTTCCAGTGGGGTTTATTCCTTACTGAGGAAAATGGATATTTAAAAATGACTTTGCAAACCTTGATGTATTTCTCCACTGGGGTCACTGGCCGGATGCGGAAACGCTCGGGAAGCTCGATTCTGGGCTTGGGGGTGGGGGCTTCTTCTTCACCCTCGATCAACTGAAACAGAATCCCCCCCGAGATGGGAAACCTCAGGGTGAGGCCGGGGATGTATCCTCTTTATCATTCCCCCTAGAAGGCCACATTTCACAGATGACAAACGTGGGGCCCAGAAAGGTTAAGAGATAGCTTGTCTCAGTTACACAGAAAAGAGTGGAGTGTGAACTTTAACACAGGCCAGCTCAGCCCAAAGCTCAGCACGAAGCCGAGATGATCTGCTACCCGCTCCTACTGCTCCCCACAGCCTACTAATTTATTTCCCCCTGCAAAGGAATTTGAGAAAACTTTACATGTTAGGGGCTGAAAAATGCAAACAAAGTTTCAGGACCAACCTTCAAAATATTAGAGAGCTCCCAGCCCTCCTTTTAATTTTTAAAGCCATTTTGAGCTCTGAAAACCCAATTTAACTACGTTAAGGATTATTAATATAGATTCTTTTTATGCATTTTATGTTAATAAGATCTCACGTTATGCATAAAATGTCAAATTGTATAACTCTCTAAGAATTAAAAAAAACTCATTAAGAGTGGCATAATTTTAAAGCTAGTTGGGGGGGTGGATTACAAATGGGGTTTACGCTGCCTTGAATCATAAATGTTTTGAATTATGCAGTTCTTCAGTACAGCGTCCCTCCTAAGTAATGTGGCTTCCTTGTGTTCTGTCCTGGAGATAGTTTGAGAGGTTGCTAACTGGTGGTCACCGTCCCACTGAAGCCTATGTAAGCATTTTGTGTGTTTGTCTAGTGTTTCATAAATCTGAGCCGCTTAATCCAGACTCGGAACTTCATTTCAACATCTGGATTTCTGGAGTCTCTTGAGCAATCAGAATATGCAATTGGCCTTCCCACATGGTAGCCCTAAACTGCGCTGATGGTGGCTGCCTCTTTGGACAGGCCAGTGGTCTCTTTGCCAGTGTCACCACCACTCCTTATTAATTATGTTTGGTGTCTATTCCTGTTTCTGTCACCTATCTGGTCCCTGTGGACTTCTGGACTTGTGATCCCTGGTTTAGGGAATACCATCAGTATTTTCTTCATAATCCCTCATGTACACTTGGCCTCTAAGCCTGACTAGGTGTCCATATACTTCCTCCTTCCACCTGTACCTCACAGTCACTCAATTAAGCAGGTGATGACAATCACCCCATTTTACAGATGGGAAGTCTGAGGTCAGGTGGTCGTGCAATCACATTGAACAGCTTCTTACCTTATAACGTCCCTTATTAGTTGTGTAACTTTGCAGTTCTTTGAGCTCAATTTCCTAATTTGTAAAATTAGGTATAAAACAATTCCTCTCTTTGCACAGAGATTAAATGAGCTGGTTCTGATGAAGCACCTAGAACATGCCAGGCACGTAGTAAGTGCTCAATAATTCGTTAAAGGACAGAAGCTTCTGGTTTCAGAGTCAGCAGTCTTCACTTACAACATGCTCTTTAATTTTATTCTTGCAAATGATACACTTCATAACCATTCATTCTTCAAAATGATTGATTCTATATCCTCAGGACTCATAAAATTTATATTTACCTCCTTGAAGGGGGTTGTTAAAAATCCCCAGTTCTGGAGCCAGTTTTGCCTCGCTTCAGATTCAGCCTTCAGACGACATTTCCTGAAAAATAAAGTTCCAAAGTGCCGGGCAACATTTGAAAATGGTTCAAGCAGCAAAACGTAAAGGTCCATCGGGGAAAATTGTAAATCCTTCATGCACATTGACTGAATAGTGGTTCTGTACCAGCGATGGAGCTGGGTGCTGCGGGGAGGGAGAGCGCCCCCAGCACTGAGCACCTCGTGTCATTGTGAGGGAGACCCCATGCTAAGGAGAGAGAGACGATGGCTGGATGTTACACGGGGGAAGGGACACTAAACGCCCCAGGGGACTTCTAGGTACTAGACCACTTATTTTAGAGGCCCCCCCATGACCCAGTCAGGGGCTATGTTAAATAATTATGGAGGTACACAATAAATACCCTTGTCCTCAGGGCAAAAACTAGCACGACATGAATGAGGCACCCAGGTTGCACTCACGCCTAGGTTCCTGTAAGTGCAGCCTTAGCATTTTCACGACCTTGACATCTGGCACCTCCTTACATATTGCACCCCAGGTGCCTCGTCTGCCTCATCCTAGTCCGGCCCTGCTTTTGTTCCACATCAGATATAATTTATACATAGCTACTACCAGCTGAATTGAGTTGCAGCTGACAAGCTGATGTGTCACATTTTGCAAACATCTAACTAAACATTTAGTCATTTTGATTTTTCAAGTTTCTTCTGTTTTGCAATCAATATCTGCACATACCCACCTCCCAGCTCTACCCTGTCTCAACAGTTTTGGAGGCTCCGGCCAAGCTCTTTGCCCTGGGCACTGAGTATCTAAGGCAGAGTATATTTCCAACAGAGATTGTGAGCCACAAATATGAGCCACACATGTAATTTTAAATGCTCTAGTAGCCACCATTAAAAAGAAGTAAAAATAAAAATGTGACATTAATTTTAATAATTCTTTTTGTATGAATCTTTGAAATCTGTTGTATATTTTGCATTTGCAGTTCATCCCAATTTGGCCCAGTTACGTTTTAAGTGCTCAATAGCCACATTGGACGTTGGACAACACGGTCTAAGGGCTTAACAGACCCTGTTCCCAGAGGAGGGGCCATCTGATTTGGGTTTTGAAGGATGAGTAGGAGTTTGAAGATGAAGGAAAGAAAGGGCATTCCAGGTGGAGGGAACAGACCCTGCTAGGTAGTATTTCCTATTGAGAATATTTGGATAAAGATAAAGAATTTTTTTAAAAAATTAATAGCTGTGTATTTTACACCAAATGATACTAGTTTTCCATTTATGTGAGTGAGGTAAAGTTTCCTATAAAAATAAATTAAGTGAAACAGCCAATTTAAAGACAAATATGAAGTGACTAATACAGATTTTATGAAGAAGTAGCAAAAATCAGAGGGATGGTAAATGAGATAACTGAAGTATAGGAGGTAAGCAATCATGTCTGTTGTTAACAAAACTTACTTGCATCAAAATTAGCAACTTCCCTTATTGGTAAAGACTTCAAAGAGATGGGATAAATTCAGCAATCAAATAGAATGCCAATTAAAAATTTCCATTACAAATGTCTACTGAATATAAATCTTTTAGAAAATGGATTTACTTTTAAAATTAAAAATTCTTATTATTTAAAAACCCAGGAAAATCGAGAGATAAAGTGAACGTGTATCTCTCATTCAAACTGAACAAATATTAAGACTTTAAAAAATTCGGTAGATCTTAAAAATGAGAGTCAGCCCTCGACAAACAGATCTGTGCCCATTGCTGTACAGACATATGCAAAGTCTTTCACACCCTTGTGTTCCTAACATTGCCCCCTTTCCTCAAGGCCCCTGACCATCTTTAGCACACGCCCCTTGTGCCCAGAGGTCGACCACCTCCGGGCTTGGTGGGGAAACTGAGGCCGCCAGGCGGCACAGTCCCCCGGGTTACCGGATACTGGTGTTTACCAGATTTCGTCCTGGGCGACAAGGTTCATGCGCTGGGCCGCCTCGGTGCCGAGCGGTTTCTGTGCCATGGGGCCTGTGGTCTCCGAGCGCCCTGCACGCTCACTCGGGTCCTGGGCTCAGCGTCTCGCGTCTCCTGGGAGACCGGTTGCCTGGCAACGCGGGACGCTGAGGAGGAGGCGGTGCCGCACCTGGCGGTTGTGAGGCCTCTGGGCTGTTGCCATCAGTCAGACCAGGGGCTTGCTGCCAGCCTCTTCTGGCTTCTGAGCCCTTCGCCCTCCCCCCGGCCCACCTGCTCCTCTGCGGAAAACCTAGGGGAAATCTCTAGACCTAACACCCTCTCCCCCATACAAAATTTACATCTGTAAATGGAAGAATGCATATCCACAGGTGCACAAAGTCCTAAGTGTACAAAGCTTAATGAGTATGCCAGAGAGAATGCGCCCCTATGCCCACCACCCACAGATTAGGAAAGAGAGCGTTGCCAGCCACCCCCAGCGGTCCCCACAGTCATCATTCCCCCCTCTGGCCCTGTCCACTTCTTCCGCAGAGATTAATTTTGCCACTATTTGAACTTTGTGTACGTGGAACCATCCAGATGTTCTCCTTTGTGCCTGGCTTCTGTTGTCCACTGTTATGTTTGAGAGGTCCATCCATCTCACTACAAGTAGCCCTCATGTGCCCATTTCTACTCCTGAATTGTATTCCATGCTGCCACTGATGGACACCAGGAAAGGGCTGCTTTGAATACCACTGCATGTCTTTTGGACATATGTACTCATTTCTGTTGGCATCCACTCTTTATGACAATCCCACATGAAATTCATAGATAATATCGCCTCCAGACCCCAACACCCTCTGCTCTCTTATTTCAGGCCCATCAGCATTAACTAATTAATTCCTGGCATGAAACCAACTTGAGGTGATTGAAGAACACGGAGGAGGCCAGTGCAGCTGGAGAGCTCCCCAGATATAAAAAACAAGTGCCCCGCCTTGCATGAGCTCAGTCGAGTAGGACCACAGATGTGATGCAGCTAAGTGACGCTGCAGCCTTAAGTATGAAATGACAGTGGGGTGTATGTGCTTCAGAGCGAGCCCCAGATGAGACAGATCAGTGCAGAGGAGGGGATGAGTAAGTTGGCTTTTGAAATATGAATAAGAGTGTGCTGGTCCTGTCCATTCTGCCACTCTCCTCAGAAACATCTGCACAGGGTACCCTGGGGCAAGGGTCCAGGGCTAGAAATGGGTATCATAGTTAAAGGTACAGGTTTTGGGATCCGATGTAAACTCAGGTCTCAGCTCTGCTATGTACCGTCTCAGTGATCTTGGGCAAGTTGTTTAACCTCTTTGAATGCCAGTGTCCTCACTGGTAAAAGGAGATGTTTGTATCTCCCATTTGTTGGACCCCTCGGAGGCTGTGCGCAGCCCATGTAAAGGGCCCTGTGTGATGCCTTGCATGACTGGTGCTCATGAGTAATGACAAGAGTCACTCAAAGAATATCCTGTTGGTTGTCTTGGCTCAGGCAGTTTCCCAAGCCTGAGACACTAAGGTTTGGGGGTCAGTGTGGGGACATGGAAGTGCGGCCTTGTGCAGAGCTGGGGTTTGTGGCTTGCCCACCTGGAAGGCTGGCTTCCTTCTTTCCTGGGAGGTGAGAGAGGAACCAGAGCTATGTTCACCTGGAATCACCTGAGACCACCTTGGTCATCACCGTCATGGTGCCACCGTCTGCCAGCTTCTGGCTGGGGGCTTATCTACCTTCCCTGATTTTATAATCACAGCCACCCGTAAGGAGGGGTTCATTTGTGACCATTTTGCAGAAGGGGTAACTGGCTCGAGGAGGATCCCTGGCTGCAGAGGGTGGCTCTTTGTTGATAGGGATGGACCCCTGAGGAAGACGGACAGTCAACATTTGTAGGTCTCACCCTCTCTCTTCCCCAGTGAGGATACCTGTTTCTCTCTAGGTGATTTGCAGGTGGCTGAAGCTCAGCTGTGGATCGAAGCAGTAAATGAAAGTTGAGGACAAAGCTCAGGTCCAGCTTTTCCTGAGGTGGGATCTGTACAAAGCAGTCCCCCCTGTAGTGGCAGCCACCTCTCCAGAAGGTATCAAAACCCTCTGCATGTCTCAGCACCACTCTTCCAGGCAGCTGGCACTGACAGACGATGGAGAACTGAGAGACCCCGAGACGCCTACCACCTCGGTTCTCCCTGAAGCCTCCGTGCTGACCCATGGGTGGGGGGCTTGTTTCAACCAACTGTGCACAGGGTGTGCATTGCCAACCCTTAACTAGCAAAATCCCCTCTTCCTAGCACTTAAAGACCTCTCTGCTGTGCAGGGTGGCCAGATTCAGGAAATGGAAATACAGGATGCGTGGTTAAATTTGAATTTCATGGGGTGTACTTATACTGGACTATACTTCTACTAAGAAATTCTTTGATATTCATCTGAAATTCAAATGTAGCTGGGTATTCACCCTATGCTCAGTGAGTTTCTTCATTGGTATGTGTACCGTGCTCAGCAAGTTCATACATTTCATATATCAAATTCTATTTTATTTTTGAGCACTGGTGGTCTGTTTTTCTTGTTTTATATATCCTCTTCCTTTTTCTTGGTTGTAGGGGTTGAAACCTTCTCCCTCTGATACTTGAAACAAGACATTCATGGGCCTCTGGCAGACACAATTCTTTCACCTAATACTTTTTTTTTTTTTTTTTTTGGCAAACTTATGATTCGGCATAGATTTCAAACAGGAAGAGGGATGAAAAAAAAAAGGACTGCCATACTTGCTGATTATATGTGGGAAACTAAGAAAATATTTACAGCTGGCAGAAGGTTCACCATGTTCTTGTATATTAATATTTTTGGCCCTCTCTCAGTTCTCTGGGACAGTTTATTTTTTATTTTTTATTCTTTTTCATTTTGCTGTTGCTTTATAAAACCTTCCAACGAGTGAAACCAACTGCTTCTTTTTTAGTTTTTAAGCTTAAACAGTTTTCTTTTTTATTTTATGACTTTATTATTATTATTCTTTTAACCAAACAGTGCTGTGTCCAGCAAAGGGCTCTGCAGCCAGCATGGCTTTCTGCAGCCGAGGCAACTGTTACCCTGACTGCAGAACAAAGGCATGAAGGCTTGATCTGAAAGTGCCAATTTGCAGGGAACGTATTTGATGGCTTCACCGAGCTTCGGCTTAAGGAACTCAGAAGTTCTCCTCTTTAGAAGCCCATTATGCTTTGCTTAGTCACAGCAAAAGAACTCTTCTCTTGCTTCATAAATAGTCTACACGCCACACACCTCAAAGTAACAATTAACATCATTCTCTGGGTCTTATTGAAGAAGAAATGTGCTGTACTCCTCCCACAGCACCCTGGAAGCCCCCCTCCTTCTGCATTTGACCTAATGATCAGTTACTACTCTAATTAGAGGCCCCTCATCGGGTCGAGGGCCTGATTGTGTCCTGAGTGTCCCCTTCCCAGCCCTCCCCTCCCCTCCCCCTTGCCATCTCTTAGGATGTGAGAAAAGCCTGGCTCCTGCGTGAAAAGAAAAGTAAGCCGAATGCGAGGGGAGAGAACCAACTTGGATTTCGAAGCGTGAATCACTCTCACCGTCTCGGTCATTTAAGGTGCTAAGTGTCCAGGCACCCTCTCCCGTGGCTGTTAACATGACAGCGGAGAGGAGGCTGTGAGCTCCATGGAAGGGCAGACCATTTCCATCTGCCATGAAGCCCCCACGCTTGAGAGGGAGCCTGGTGGGAGATAAGGATGTCCTGAGAACAGAGGTGTCACCTCAGAAGGGTTTGGGTGTAGCTCATAGTCACAAGTACTGCACTCGAAGGGGACTTTAAGAGCAGTAATCTTCTGTTCTTCCAGAGATATTTTATTTAATTGGGCTGGCAATGGGGAGGGTTTTGGGCCCAGGGAGGGGCAGGTGCCAGGGATAAGGTGTAGCTCATAGTCACAAGTACTGCACTCGAAGGGGACTTTAAGAGCAGTAATCTTCTGTTCTTCCAGAGATATTTAATTGGGCTGGCAATGGGGAGGGTTTTGGGCCCAGGGAGGGGCAGGTGCCAGGGATAATGCCCACAGAGGGTCACACAGAAGGGTCTGAAGTCAAACCGGATCATTGGGTGGGGGAACAGTGGAAGATGGTTTCTATATTTTGTTATATAACATTATAACGCTCATTCGTTTACTCGCTCAATGGCACTGAGTATTTTTTAAGTCCCTTGTGTGTGTTGAGCCTGGTTCCAGGCACTGGGCTCACAGCAGAGACAAGACAGACCTAGTGCCAACCCTCAGGAAGCTTCCAGTCCCGTAAACAAACATACCAGGAAAGTTTCAGATGGGGATAAGTGTTACAGAAATAGAGAGGGTGATGTGGGGTCAGGATGGTCGGTCAGGGCCTCCAGTGATGCAGGGAGGCCGTCCTGGAAATAGCAGAGGGGAATATCTCTGGGCGCTGGGCCTTGCAGGTTGGGGTAGTAGGGGGAGTTCGGACATTCTTCCAAGTGCAGTGGGAAGTCCTTAGTGTGTTTGGACAGCTCTGTACAGTCCAACCCACAGGCTTTCCAACCTTGGGCATGTCATAGGATTCCCCATGCCCCACTGTCCCCCAGACAGAGTTCTCTGATCTTCACATTACCAGGGACATCAAGGAGTTCAGAGCTGAAGTCAGACTTTGGAGAGAGGGGAGAAGTGTTGTTACTCCTGAAACTTTTTAGGGAACTTCTCCTTCCGGACTTGACTTGGTTCTGGGGTAGCTAATTTTACTGCACAGTTGGGCCATACCTGGCTGATCATCAGGCTTCATCCTTCTGGCTGCAGTGGTCGGTCCGACAGCAGGATGTGTGACCCAAGAAAGACCAATCTAAGTCCTTCCCTGGGATTTTACAAACAGACACTAGGTTGGGGTGACAGAAATTCTCTTTTTGTCCCGAGGCTGGGATAAGGAAAGCTTAGAGCTGACCATGGCCAAATGCCCTCTTTTCCTACTCCTACAGCTGCTGCGCTCTCCGCATCCCCACTGTATGGAAGAAGCCTCAGTGCTATAGGAAAAACCAAGGCAATGTGCAGAGAGTGGAGA